AATAATATCAAGAAAATTCAAGATATGGGAGTTTCCGGAAATTAAGGTGCCTTATTCTGGGGTCCTTATAATAAGGATCCTACTATTTAGGGTGCTATATTAGGGTCCCCTATTTTCAGAAACCCCCATATGAATAACAATCTAATATATTTCATCCTGCTATCTCAGGTCTGCTTCTAGGCCGGCTCCACCTCTACATCCGCAAGTTCACGGCAAGTATCTCAACGAATGCAAGGGTCTCTCACCCTTTGGGTGAGGAGCTGAAAAACTAACGCATCATGTCAGGTAAAGTACTTCATCTGCTTCCATATAGTTGGAAAAAATCTCTGGCAGGCATGTTGTCAACCCTCAGCCTGAGTGTGTCAATAAGGCTGGCAGGCCTTCCTCCAACCATCAGCATGTCTCCATGGGCATCGTCCATATGTTGCATACAGGCTTGCGTTGAGGCAAACCACTTGTCGCAGGTTCCGCATTGAACACTTCCCGGTGGCATGCCCAAAGAGTGGCCTGCATCCCGCATGTGCTGCTCCATGGCTTCCAAGGTACTGAAATCTTTCAAACAAACTGGACAAACGCTGATGGTACTCTTTGCCTGGCCATTGACCCGCTGTGGCTGTGCAACTGGCTTTGCTTTGGCCTGTGGCTTCTTGGAGGCCTTCCACAAGGGATCGTGGCTCTTTGCGCGACAGTGCTGCTCTAAAGAAAACCAGTTCTCGAAGTCTTTGTCGCACTGAAAGCATCTTAGCACACACCAAAGCGCACCTGCATGCTTGGTTTGCTTCTGGTGCAGACCCAGTTCCTTCTCGTTCACGAAACTCGGCTCCTTACAGCCCTTTTGTCCGCATCTGTAGTATTCCGGAGGTCCGGAATGGAACTGAGTGAACTTGTGAGATGGATCATGGAAGTCGGCCTCCCAGGGGCAACAGCTATGTCTTCTTTGAGAAGCTAGTTCCAATCATGCCGTAGCGTATTGAGGCTTAGACAGATGCCACATTAAACTTGCATGATAACAAATAGCAAAACAGAACGCTTGTTTGATTCTCGCCCCAAAGCCTTGCGACTCTGGCATTTTGCACAAACAAAGTCGCCGCAATCCATACACATAAAAATTGCCTTGCCCTGCATGGGATATGATTGGCAGCCTGCGCACTTGAATGCCCATCCGGAAACAGGCGGCTTCGATTCTTGTCGGGCTGACTGGTTATTGTCCTTGGATTTGTCAGTCACAGTCGTTGGAGCGGTGTGAGCGTAGGTGCAGGCAGCCCCCTTGTCACACTTGCCAGCGGCAAAATACTTGCAAGGCTTCATCTGATTCGTGGCGTTTTGGTTCGCAGTCTCTGGGTTTACGTGGGAGTAGGTACAGGCCTTGCCTTTGGTACACTTGCCTTCGGCGAAGTACTTGCAAAGCGCTGCCTTGCCCTTGTCCTCGACCTNNCTGCTTCGGCGGTGCGGCGGGAGGAGCTTGAGATCCCTTCTTGGAAGTCGTCGTTTTGGCCTTGCAGAGAGCGGCAGCCTCGTGCTTGAGGTCGACATAACCCATCCATTCGACCCGCACCTCGCAACTCATCGAGACAGAAGAGACGCAGAGCTTAGGGTGTAGGGTTGTAACGGAGGATCCGTTGTTTCAACGTATATGAACAAAATTTCGACCATGGTTATGCTTATCATAACTATTGTTACGATTGTGGTCTTTCGCCATCAGTATTTCAAGTGTTTTCTCCCTAAGCCCTAAACTTACAGAGGCTGAATAGCCTAGCCCAAAATAGGTTAACCTGTTAAGCTACAGTAGGCTTATATATGCAAAATAAGCCGCAAAAGGTTAAAGGGTCACCTACTCANNAACCCCAAACCCTAAACCCAGGAAGAAGTGCCTGGAACTCCTGATCTTCCAGCTCGGTTCGGATGGCTCGGACCAGCTTAGGCTGCGCAGCCAGCTCCAAATCGCAATGTTTGCCTTCTGGTGTATCAAGGTCGAGGGCTTAGGGTTTAACGTTTAGGGT